TTTATATTTTGTAAAGATTCTGAATGGATTTTTCAGAATCTTCAATACTGTAAGTAAAATACATGGAATTGATTGTGTAATTATGACATCACACCTGCAGATATAGCTTTCTGAATGTAAATATGACATCAATTCTGCCAGCAGAAAACGAGCTTCTTTACATGCAGAACATATAAAGCCATGGCCCATGGCGAGATTTGTTTTTGTAACTAAAAAAAGAAGCGAAATACACTAACCGAGCTTACAAACTAAGACAGAGAAAAGAGAGAGAAAAACACAACCTCGGCATTGATAACTTTCAATATCACGCGAAAATTAGTAATTATTGTCGTAATAGATTTTTTGAAGTTTAGTAAATTTCGTGTCCGCATGTCCGCGTTTTCCACCTGACTTGCGTGTCCGCATGTCCGCGTCCGCATGTCCGCGTTTTCCACTTGACTTGCGTGTCCGCATGTCCGCGTGTCCGCATGTCCGCATGTCCGCGTGTCCGCATGTCCGCGTTTTCCACCTAACCTTCCGTGTGGACGTATTATTCAAGCAATTTAAATATTTCTTGGGTCAACTTTCCCTTCAGCCACTGACACGAAAATGTATCTCCATGAAAGTGATACTCGCACGGAATTTCTAAGCCATAACCACCTCCTCTGTTGACACGCTTTCCTTTGACGATTATTTTACCAGAATTTGTCTGCCGTTTTAAAAACTTTGTCAGCCATAGTGCCATTAGTTTCGGGGCATGTCCACTGCACTACGCTTAAGTAAATATTCCTCATCGAGTTTTGGTTCCCAGTCGTCCATGTACGCATGATACTCCCGAATAAATGAACTAACTCGAAGTGTTTCTCTATTCCTTTCACTTTTCAGTGTAATTTACTTTAGTCTCAGATTCTGCAGCATGCATGTTTATACTTTATAACCAGAATGTCGGTAGTGTTTTTGTAAAAATGAATCAGCTGGTAGATTGCCCAAATCGCGTGTCAAATTTCACGACACTTCCTTATTTCATGTTTGGCCAGACGCTGTCTGGTTTGAAAAAATGCTTTTCTGACGATGTCATATTAAAACAGTGCGAGAAGCGATGGAATCCAGTGATGAATTGCAAAAAATTGCTCAATTTAACGGACACCAAGAGCTTGCGCTTGCTATGTATTATATTCTTTTATTTCTGTAAACGTATACTTGTAACTACAAAGTCTGCCATGCATATAATATATTCACTAAGTCCACATGCAAGCTTTTCCCGCCATCCCAAAGTCACGTGTCCTCCGCTGGACACTATATCTCTCCCTTTGTATTAATTAAAGGAACAAAACACAATTTTAAATGTCATAACTAATGTCAAACCCAGTTCGCTTGTATATAATATGAAGTCCAATTGTTTATGTTATAAAGTCCTGCATTCTAGCTGGAGGTCTACGCATCCTTGCAGGTCGTGTGTTTACAGTGACTGCAGGCTCGGCTGTTACTGGTTGGTTATGGCTAAAGGGGATGGACGAGAGCATAGATATAGGAGACCTAGATTGCTGACTCTAATGTTTTCTATAATGCACGCGCGTGACACTCATGAGCATTCAAAATGGCGGCTCAACCGGGCAAAAATCATAGAGCGAGATAGGGAAAAACCATGGTTTTTGCATTTTGCGTCGTCCTACAGCTTCCGATCCCGTTATATCACTTTATTTTGGAAAGAACTAACTGGTGTGAAGGTTTTGGATGAATATTTGTGCAATTTAAGTTCAATAAAGACGAAATAATCGATCGCTAAATGTTTTCTGAAATCGTCACAATGGTCGGTTGAGCAGTTCGAGACATTTTGTTGCAGAAAATAAAGTTTTGGTTCTTTGGGTGCTTTTTTTCTCGAGGATCTCGGTTGGGATATTTAACAAGGAATAATTCTGTGAAGTATTTTGAAGTTAAAGCCTATTTTACTTGATTTATTTGGTCTGCTGGTGCGAAAATTCTGATGCTCTGTTTAGTGTGACTTTGACAACCTCCTTGCTGCTGCAGATGTCAAGGGATCTCAAGTCTATAGGGCCTGGACAGTGAAAAGTGATGAATCAATCAGGTTTGTAGAGAGAACTAGTGACAACGAAAGTTTTCAATGGAAACTAGTTTGAAGAAACTGCCTAATGTGTCTGGTATGCATCAAAAACCTTCACAGTTAGTATCTAGTTCTCTCCAAGAAACCTGATTGATTCATCATTGATAATCAAAAATAGATGGGACGGCATCTTCGTTTAGATATTTCTTGGATTGGCATTTTATTGATTGCTCTCTGCAGTCGGCATTCTTCCCTTCGGACACTCTCCCCTTGAGACAGCTGACCCAAGCATCAGCACTCTCCCCTTACGAGTAGAATTGTCTGGCGTAGCCAGAGTAAAATAATTAAGTAGGGCACAAAACGACTCAATGGATTAACTATACACATTTGCAGGTAGGCCAGTTAACCCATTAAGTGCCACTGCTCTCCTCTTGATGAGTAAAATTGTCTGGCATTAGACAGAGTAAAATAATAAAGTAGGGCACCTTGCAACACCATGGATTAATATAATCATCGGGTGTGAAGTATAATCATCCGGTGTGAAGTGTTTCTCACACAAGAATGAATATTTGATTGGCATTGAGTCTGCCCATTTCATTTTTTAGCAGGCTGGGATTGGTTATAGGAAATCCAATAGTACAAAGGGAAAGATGTATTTTTGGTTCACTGATGTGAACAAAACTAAAACATTTTTGACTTTGAACAGGACAAGGAAAGTTGTTAACATGCATATATAGAGAGAGAGACTCTCCTAACACAGACATCAAAACAAGAAGTTCTTTTTTGGTCTAATATTCTTTTATTAAAACTGTAAATAGTTTTATATTGTAGCTGCCAAACTCAAAACTACATTTGTTGTGACGTTGTCATTACAGTATTTACAAAACAAATTCTTTTTATTCTATTATTATTCTGTTTATATGATGTAAGTTATAGACTTGTAGTGTACAAATATGTGATGTGTGTGTGTTTCATAGACTTACTTATGGAAGGAAAATCGAATAACATCCCACGTCTGTCTTGTAGTAATACACTGAACACGATTCTGGCCGACTTTCAAGCATTCTTTTCGATAAAAAAAACCCAGATGGAATAGAAGCCCTAGAATTTTCAGATGAAAATACTGTATTTTGGTCGAAATAACAATGAAAGAACAAAATAAACAGTAATAGCTTT